CTTGGAGTTGTTTCTGATCTTAAACTACCTCATCCACCTCCAATTGCTACAGTGCCATTGGGAACTGGAAACAACCTCCCGTTTGCATTTGGTTGGGTAGGTTATATGTTTGCCTGTCTCTTGTAGCTGAACTTAGAGAATGCCAATCTTATAATGGATTTCTGTCTTGATATTAATATCTTATTATCAGTTTAGCACAATTCTTATACCATGTATTTGGATAATTCTCAGGGAAAGAAAAATCCAAGCACAGACCGTGATATTAATATCTTATTATCAGTTTAGCACAATTCTTATACCATGTATTTGGATAATTCTCAGGGAAAGAAAAATCCAAGCATAGACCGTCAGTCTGTGCTGTCATTCATGGAACAAGTAAAGAATGCGAAAGCAATGAAAATCGACAGGTAATGCATCCATGATGGCTTATATACTATATACCAGTAAAGTTACTTATTCATGGCATCACTACTAAGCAATCTAGTGGCACTAGACATTTCCTTGTATTCATATATAGTTATATTTTCCCTCTTTGTGGTTAAATTGGGAAATCTATATTTTTCTCTGTCAGAATTTTACTTTATTTTCTGTTTACCAATCATATATTTTCTTATTAAATTTCAGCTGGCATATTCTAATGAGAATGAGGATTCCTAAACAAGGACCTTGTGATCCTATTGCGCCTCTTGAATTACCCCATTCTTTGCATGCATTTCATCGCGTCTCTGAAAAAGATACACTGAATGTGGTAAGTCTTTTCTTTTCTTTTCTTTTTATTATTATTTTGTGTTTTTTACATGGTTTATGCAAATCTGACATTGCTGGCTTACTGTCAAATGTTTTGTTGAATGTTCTCAGGAGGGTTGCCACACATTTCGTGGGGGATTTTGGAACTACTTCAGCATTGGTAAGAAATACGAAATTTAATTTCTATAATCATATGAAGTTGATCCATTAATGATGTTTGAAAGGAAAGTTTAATTGTGTTTGGTGGCAACCAGTTCTTATTACATCAGTGTAGCTGCTCAGTTTGTTGAACTATAAGTTTTTCTTATACAGGAATGGATGCTCAAGTGTCATATGCATTTCATTCTGAGAGGAAGTTACACCCAGAAAAATTCCAAAATCAGTTAGTTAATCAGGTATCAATATCTTTACTATTTAGACTTCAGACAGAATAGTAAAAAATTGCTTGATCATAAATTACACTACTATGTTAGTCCAAAGATCAAAAATCAAACTTACCACATCTTTCTATTAATTTAAGATGTCATATCAAAATATTTCTTTCATAGGTCCATCTGATAAGTTAAGCTGTGCAAATACATGGTATCACATCTTTCTATTACAAGGATCTCTTCTTTGTTCATTTTTATTATATTTTCTCTTTACTTGTGCAAATATCAAAATATATCTCTTCGGCTCCTTGCTCCCTTTTAATTAAAATTGAATAGTATAGCTTTACTTGCTTTCGAATTAATTATGTATCACTGCACTAATTTGAATTTTAACCCTATACTTGTGTTCTGAATCATTTTGTACAAGGTCAGAATTTCATATTTTTATGAGCTGTGCTTCACTTGTCTTCTCTGTAATTAAATCCTTGCGATAATTTTTCCAACAGCTGACTTTCTTTTCTGTGGAGCAGAGTACTTATTTGAAGCTTGCTGGTACTCAAGGATGGTTTTTTGCTTCTCTTTCGCAGCCTTCTTCACAATCACGGTGAGTTAATCAATTAATGAGTACCATTACTTCTTATAAGATATTTAATTGTTTTCGAGTCGAGTCTACTGAGAAGAACATGCCTGATGGCTTGATGTATGATCTATGCCCTCTCAGCTTAAGTATGTGATCATGATTATTGGAGTAGGTTAAATTGGTGATACTATATAACATTATAACACTGAGCAGCTTTTAACTTTGAGCGCATTGAAATTTGTTGGCTTGGTTTCTGGCAAAGTGCTTCTGGTGGCATTCTGTTTTCTGTATATATTTGTCACACTACATTATCAGTTGAAGATAAAATAAATAACTTGTTTTTCTGGTTTCTTTTCATATGTTTACATTTGCCTAAACTTCTTGAGGCTAATGGTTTTATTTATTCTTCAAGTTACTGGACTTCAGTTTGGTTTCAATGTTTCTGAGAGTGGCTTGATTTCAATACAGGACATAGCACAGCTAGCAAAAGTTAAAATCATGAAAAAGCAAGGCGTATGGGAGGACCTCGACATACCTCACAGGTGAGATTATATGTTCCAATATTTCAGTTTTTACTGATCCAACTGAGTCAGATTGGATTTCCAAGTTAAGTGACAAAGAACAGGAAAGCATAAAGTGTTGAATGTCTTAGTTGTTTCTTGTCACTAAAACTGCATTTACATTCATCTAGCTTACATTTAGTTTCTCATTTCTGTCATTTTCATCACTCCGCAGTTCACCAACACTTTTGTCTTTTGACATACAGCATTAGGTCATGTATGTCTCAACTTGCCCAGTTTTTCTGGTGGACTTGATCCTTGGGGAAAACCATTAAGGAGAAAGTACGTGAGGTTAGTTCTGACTTTTAATACAACTTCTGGGTTATGAGTGAAAACACATCTTCACCAATTAGTTTCTAATTTCTACAATTTTGATTTCCAGAGGGCCTTGACTCCTCCTATGTAGATGATGGCTTTATTGATCGTCGGTTTTAGAGATGCTTGGCATGGCTTGTTTTGCTTGCTCCAATGGACATGGGACTCGTCTTGCTCGGTAGGAATAAAGCTATTTTATTTTCAAATTCATAATGCTTAATTTCCTTGTACTGTTAACTTCTAGTTCTATGCTACACAATATGTGATGTGCAGAAATTTTAATTAGCTTGTTTCTATCTTGGCTTTATTTTATTTTTCATTGTTGTATGCAGGCAAAACGAATACGTTTCGAATTTCAAAAGGGTGCTGCTGACCATACATTCATGAGAATCGATGGTGAGCCATGGAAACAACCTCTCCCAGTTGATGTGACACCGTAGTTGTGGAAATATCTCACCTACGCCAAGTGAGCATGCTTGCCATCCCAGGTTGCCGGTCCAGAAGCATAAATGACCTCTCACCTGCCAGTTCCCTAGATGAAGAAACTGATAGTGTTGAAGATGAATGTACCAAGATTGGAAAACGAAGGAAGTTTGGTGCTGCTGAACATTTAAAATTCCAGATGGGGTCGATATAGCTTGTCTCGTTGAATTACTAACAGCTAACTTATTCTCCCACTTTTCCCAGCCTCTAACATCTCGCCACTGCTCTTTTTCACATTAACTGATTGATATTCGTTTGGTTTTCATGATATGTGCACTCGAATGAATACAAATATATTGTACAGATTGCAAAAGGGTTTCTTCCCTTTTGAATGTATAGAACTCTGATCAGATTGTTTGTGTATGAATCTGTGAATGGTCCACAGAATTTTGAGTGTTTGAAATTTTTAATTATTCTCCAGTTTATTATCACCAAGATTAAAGGTAAAATTTTTGAGTGTTCAGTAACAAAATATGCAGAAAGGGAGTATTTATTTTCTGTCATTCTGATCAGAGTTGAATGTTTGTGTTGCATTAATGATACCGACACTCAGGATTCAAGAAGTGAAGTATGATTCCTTAAAAGCAGAATAACTTTTCAAGTTAATTTTGCTGAAGATTCTTCAATTAAAGAAATTCCAAACTTTCTCACTGTGATGATGGCATAATAGTTCTGGTTTCTGAATGCATACTGTCATAATCAGCTAATGTACCATTGATATGCACTGTTAAAAATTTTAACTGAATAATACAACGTTATCAAATCAAAAAAATACTATACCCTTCAAATAAATTGCATAAAATCAAAATAACCAATATAATATAATATGAAAAAAAAAAAAAGCAAAAAATTACAGAAATCCTAAGGATAATTTTACAACACTCTTATTAAGACACAAGTTTGATTATATGATACTTGGGCAAGTCCTATATTTAAAAATCATTGCCTCCATTTTTATTAAAAAAAAAAAAAAAAAAAATACAAACTACCTTGTAATAATTTAGGGGTGTGCAAAACTGATATCCAATCCGGTTTTGCATTTTTCTAATCTAATCAGGAAATTCGGATTAGGATAAAGTCAAGATTTGGTCTGATTCGGTTTTGGTCCTAATTTGCATGAAAAGTATCTTTGCCCCTAAAATTTTGCTTTACTCTTTATACCCTTGCCACATCAGCATTTCATTTTTTGTCCCCCAAGTTGTCATTTATTTACAGTCCAGTACTTTACCAATTTTCACCTCGGACTCTAAAATAACTTCTTAAAACTTATAGTTATGAACAAAACCAATCAGTCGGATATCCATTTCTTGGTAGAGGTATCCGGTATCCTATCCGAACATCCACATCCTCCAAAATTGATATTCGAATCTGATTTTTTTCAAATTTTCGAATTTCCCAAATCAAATCGGATATGAATATTGGATTTTTTTTCACACCCCTACCTTGTATCATACAATAAATTTTTTTTTTTTTTTGGTCAAATAATTGAATGAAGGGTGGCGTTTTCATCTCACACGTCACAGTCCATGTCTTGATATCCCGGTTATTATTAGTGGGGAGTAATACTTGGGTCCCGACCTATCAAATCTCGGCCCGGGCCCGGGATGGCAGGTATAAATTATGTCCGGGCTGGGCCAGATTTTTCACTTCCTTATTTACTCGAAGCAAAATGGACAATTTTTTTTCCCAATCCCCAAACTGAAAACACTTTTTAACAGCAAAAAGCACTCAATACAGTCAAAGTCTCCCAATTTATACGCGTCAAAATTAAATTAAAATATGTATAACAACAAACCAAAACCATCATCGTCATCGCCTGTTTTTGTCATTTTTTTTTATTACTCTTACTTCAGCCTCCGCACCTGAATCACAATTACAAACACGTATACAAGTAAACTACGCACGTGTTAAACCAAACGGCCAAACCCAAACAGCAGCAACACAATGGTTTTGCTTTTACTTACAAAACCATGGGCATTTTCTCCTGAAATATTGCTGTTTCCAGTGAACTCTGCCTCTGGTTTTGAACTGACACCACTATATATCAACAAACTCACCAACCTAACTAAATCACAAATCAACGCTGTCTTCTCAGTTCTAACACTTACAGCCAAATTAAGAAAATCCCTTCAGAAAATATCCGAATGAGTGCTGTCACGAAAGGCTTGGTTTGTGGCGGCCAGTATCGGTGCGGTGGAGGCACTGAAGGATCAAGTTGGGATTTGCAGGTGGAATTATGCTATAAGGTCGCTTCAACAACATGCCAAGAACAATTTGAGGTCGTTTAGTCAGGCTAAAACGATCTCTTCTACTTCTTCTTCTTCTTCTTCTTCTTCGAAGGTTTATGAAAAGATGGCATGTGGCAAGGTGAAGAAATCTGAAGCTTGCATGGATAAAGTTATGGATTTGAACTCTTGGGGTCCTAGTACTGTTAGATTTTAATGTAATTAGTGATCTTATTATTAAATGTAGTCAGAAAATATATGCTTCATTCTGTTACAGAATTATTATTTTTTCTGGGTTCTTTTTATGTTCTTAAATTAATGGAACATGAAGTAGAGGAACACGAGCTTGTAAGAAAGTTCTTAAATTTTTGTGAGAAATGAAAAAAATTGTTGAGCAATTGCCTTATAAGTGAATAAAAAATGTAGCTGCTTCGTCAGTGGTGATATTGATGAAACGCTTTGTTTAAAATCTGTCGTTTATTTGCAGCAAGAAAGAAAGCAGCAATATGCCTTGAGAAAAAAATAAATAGAATCAGCAAATGGCCGAAGAAATGAACAAGAACATGCTCTTTTTCTTATGTAAAAGTATTTTGATACTGCTGAAATATTACCCAACACGATTTAAAAAATCGCAATACCACCAGCTTGAATTGATTCCACAAAACTTCTTGGATCTTGATCCCTACTCTCCATAATCTATAAAATTTTTCATTTTCAGTTTAAATTTTCTTGAACCAGTGAAGAAACTGAAGATTTGAAGCAATGTTTTAAAACCAATGCGGGTGGAACCCGGCAAAGTTGCCGGTTTGACCGGCCGGATGACAAAACTTCTAAAATTCACAAATACACTCTTAAAAACTCGTTAAGTCCTTATAAGTTTGAAATTTAGCAAACACACCCTAAATATAAATTGATTGGTGATTGGTACCCCAAATGCAATCCCCAATCATTCTTTAAGCCCATTCCCTAAAAAATCTACCCAAGATGTGGTTTGATTTTGATAGATCTCACCGACGCAGGCATCAACATTCTAGACCAAATCTCATCGACACAGTGTTGACAACCCTCCCCATCACTCTGAAAATACTCTCCTTTTTCTCCAGACCAAAACCCACCTCACCCCACCCCCGTTAGCCTCGACAATCACCAGCAAAAGTCGGTTGTTTCAACTGCCTTTTTTTTCTTTTAATTTTCAGTCGATTCACTCACCGAAAATCAACTATGTTGCCACCATTGCACTCATCGACACTTTCTCATTAAAAGCCCCAACATCCCGACCTTCAATTATTCGTCGATTATCATCCCAAATTCTATAGTTTTGGGTGAATAGGGAATTGTTAACCTAACCCAGTGAAGCTCATGGGTCCCGATTAAACTGGTTAAACCGGCCAAGCCGGGCTGGATTTTAAAACAATGATTTGAAGTTGAAGAAGTATTCTAGTAAAATGTGCGGAGAGTTTGATGAATTGAACATGTGAAACAATGCAGGTATGACCAAATACAAAACAACACAACCATTAGCCTCTTGGCTTTGGAAAAACAGTAACCCAAATTTGTTTTGTTTTCTTTTATTATTGCATATATTCTGATTTTAGTCCTCAACCACAAAAATATTAATATATTTAACTGTAGTTTATCAGCTAGTTAAATTTCCTTGAAGTTTCCATCAGGGATTCAAAAGACAAAGCACACAAAGAAAGAAGTATCCAAATACTAGGGATTCTTTCCAAAAACCAAAACTGTTGGTTTCCACTGCCTGTGGTTTCTTACCAAATGAACCAAACTTTATAAATGATTAAGCTGCTGCTTCTTCTTCTTTAAAGTCTAAAGAAGAACTCAAAACAGCATGAGTTTGGCAAGAAAAGCTTGGATTGTGGCGGCCAGTATTGGTGCAGTGGAGGCATTGAAAGATCAAGCAGGAATCTGCAGATGGAATTATATTTTAAGGTCATTTCATAATGATGCCAAGAATAATTTAAGAATTATACTTTCTGCTTCTCCATCCAGGGAGATGTTCATGAGAATCAATAACATGAACAAATCAAAGGATTCCATGGAAAAAGCTTTGCAATTGGGCTGTTGGGGTCCCAATACTATCAGATTTTAGCATGATTGTAACATAATTTTCTGTTGCAAATTTCATTGCCATCTTCTCATCTGGGTATATTTTACTATTCTTTTTTGGTATAATTTTTTTTCAGTTTACAAATCTGATTGTGAATGAGACTGGATTTCAAGACTGTTGCACCAATCAATTATTGGATTGTAATTAGATATAATCAATTTTAGAAATATCCGGATCAAAGATTTTGCATATGGGCATAGTAGCTTTTTCCCCATCAAATAAAACCTGAAAAACAACGACCATTAGTGGCTCAACAGTCAGCTGAGACTCTTAGATGAATTACTCAAAAAAATTTGAGTTCGACCTATCTGAGTTGCTAATAAGGGTAATCACTAGGAGGATTTATCCGACTGTTAATTTCAAAGTACTGAAGAATTAGTTAAGGTGCCTGTAGACTGGCTTGGACACCTCAGTCACCAAAAAAAAACAAAAACTAAAACCTGAAAAAAGTTAATGGCAGTTCTATATTCTAATGCCCACAACCACAAGTCATCAAACCGTGTGCTTGCGTTTAAAGTTGAAAGTGCTTAAACAAAAAGCACTTTCCACCACATGCTTGATGCTTCTACTACAAACAAACCACTAACACATTAAAATTCCACTCGTCAGCACCCCTTGAATTTTAATAACCCTCTACACTGTCCACAAATCTGGGAGCCAAGTCCCACCATTTTCAACCTCAGTTTTCCCAAAACCACTGACATTTTCTAAAGAAACAAACAGTACCCCATTTTTAATTCCCCAAGAATCCAAGTCTCTTTATTTATTCCTCTCTATATAAATCCATGCACCAGACCTCACAAATTACACTCAAACAACACAACAGCGAATTCCGCGGGCTCGTCAATTTTAATTCAACAACTCAAAAATTTTCTCTTTACTTTTCTGGTGGTTTATTATACAGAGAGTAGAGATGAGTAGTAATGGAGGGAGAATTTCCAGGTTTGATGTGGCATTAATGAAGTCTGTGCAACAAAAGGGAAATGCCTCTGTGGCAGAATCTGCTTCTGCTTCTGGCAATAAGTGCAACAACAGGAGTGTTTGGTCTACTGTTGGAGATGTTAATAATCAGACAGTGAAGAGAATTAATGGTGATGATCAGAAGAGGAGAAAAGAAGAGAAAGATGAAATTCTTTTTAACTTAATTTGCTGGGCACCCAATTAATATGTTCATCTGTTTAAATTAAATGTTATATGGTAGCATAATATTTCATTTATTTTTTCTTTCTTGGTTGAAAATTCAGTACTAAGTCTGTTTGGTTCGGTTGAAAATGGATTATGGGTTTCAGCTTGTTTAAAGTGTTAAAATTCTAAAATTTTAATATTCTATATTATATTTGATTTGATTTATTTTTATTTATTAAAATCTTTTTTATTTATTTTATAAATTAGTAATAAAAGGTTCTCTTATATTTTTCTTACCTAATAATTAACTAATTATTCATAAAAATTATAAATTATATTTTTCTTACCATTCTTTGGCCGTAAATCTAACTATTTCCCACTAGATCGACGCACGATTGACCAAATCAATAGCTAATTTATAAAGGAAATATTACAAATTTAGAGCACTTCTAACAAACCGCTTTTAACCCAAGCAATCTTATAAAAGTACATGACAACTTTTGATGAGAATAAAATTCCAAATGTTTCATATGCTTTTTAAAAAAAATAATATTAAATCAACAATCATCTCTCATAAAATTTGTTCAGAACCTTGACGGGATAATTCATAGTTGGTCAATTCACAACATGTCTTATATAAGTCCCACTAATTAATTGTGAGTTGACTAATTGCGAGCTGTTATATCAGGATTGTGAGACAAAATTTGTGAAAAAAGTGTTGTTGGTATGATATTACTCTTTTAAAAAATAATTAATTATTTATTAATGGAAATATTAGATTAATGTGAAAGAATAATTAAGTCCAAATATTTAACCTAATTTATTATGGGTAGGTCTCCACCTCATCCAAATTTGTTTTAAACAATGATTTACACATAATCTTAACTTACAAAGTTAAAATTAAACAATAATTTACATATAAGAATAAACTTACTAAATTCAAATCAATGATTTGAGTGTTAAAATAACAATTTTGACAAATATCTCTTGGTCCCAGTCCATCAATAGTTATTATTCTCAACCATGAATAAATATTATACAAAAAAACAAAAAATCTTATTTAAAATTATTTCAAATCAAAGTATAAATACCCTACCCCTCCTCTCTTTCTCGATGAGACACTTCAACAACCATTTTTGCAACATTAAATATTAAATACCATATCTACATCTACATCAATATCCATATCTATTTTAATCTAAATGAATATTTTATATTTCTAATAATGTTGTCATTATAACCCATGTTCATAGTAGGTTTTGTTGCATTTTTTGTTTTTGTTTGTTTTTTTTTTTAATCATCGGGATGTTTGGGCTAGCTAACACACACCTTAATTAATCCCTCAGAGTCCTAAAATTGTCAGTTGGGTTATTGGGTAGTCTTGGGGCCCTGAAACTGCCAACCAAATAAGAGCTTCAATGTGGTAATCTCTATTAGTGTCTGGTGTCACGGACCAGGAGTTTTACACCCAAAAGGCTAACCTATTAGGTAGAGAGACTTCTCCCCTTATAAGCCCAAGACTACCCTAATACGTTTCCGATATGGGATCCATGACATTCTCCCCCACCTAATCCTGTGATGTCATCATCACAGGTGGGGCCCCCTACCTACTCGTTCACCTTACTCTCAACTGGACCCATAATCATACGTGAGCCCGATTCTACGTGGGCGTTTGGCGAGAAATTGAAAAACGAATTGGGGTTGCTCTGATACCACTTGTCACCGGCTGAGAGTTTCGCACTCAAAAAGCTAACCTATTAGATAGAGAGACTCCTCCCCTTATAAGCCCAAAATTTTCCTAATACGCTTTCGATATGGGATGTATGACATCGAGAAGACTCAAACTCAAGAATTCATAGAACCTCTTTTTGCTCTTTTACCATCAGACCACCCACGGTGGTTAAGGATTTTGTTACAATTCAATACTATAATAGTAACTTGTAATTTATAAATTTGTAATTTTAAAAATATAAAATTTGTAAAATAAACTTACATAATAATAAGCATAAAAATCCAATTATTTTTTTATATTTTGATTTCATATTCATTATTCACCTAATTAATTCCTAACTTCCCAACTAACCCATACCAACAAAACCAGCCGACAAAGGTAAATACCGTACATTGCCTTGCATAATCTGTTCATTCATAATTAAAACCATTCCCCTCAAGTGAAGAATGCCGTTACTCTCTCCCCCACCCTCACGCGCCCCACCCCTTTATCTGCCTCAACAACACAACACATGTCCTTCTCTGCTCCTCTACTCTACTGTACTGTTCCCCACAGTTCACGCTTTCAACAGTTGTACTATGATTAACCTCGGTAATATAATTAATTTAGTGAATGCTTCAAGCCTCTGCCAGTTATAACAATAGGATTCAAGTTTTATACCTTCGGCTTTACATTATCCTTTATCCAAAGTACAACCACCTCAATGCACGGATGGAAAAATCAAATTTAATTCTAGTTAAAGAAACATTTGGAATCCGCTAAGTTTAAAACTCGTGAGGCCACTCCTCTTTTCTCTCTCTCTCTCTCTCTCTTCTGTCACTCCCATTTTATATAAATCCAAACTCATTTCAGACGACATATCCCTCCCCAGTTCCCCCGCCCCCAAAAAAACAACTCCAACCTCGCGGAGGAACCTTGCTATTCCCGGTCACCATGGCTATCGCCGGCCGGAAAAAGTCAAACTCTGAAACGAAACTCTTTCGGCTCTGTCCGTTTTGGCAAACCGGAACGAACTCCTCCTCTTCGCCGTCCACAAACCACCTTAATAACGGTAACCGACACGTGGACTCTCCCGCTCTCAATTCTAGGTCCACCAAAACGGTGTCATCGGTGGCCAGATCCCTCCTTCCTCCTCGGCGTCGGCTACGCCTTGATCCTTCGAAAAATCTCTACTTCCCCTGTACGTGTTGATGTTCTCGGTCAGGGTTGACTTTTGGACGTCTTTAAAATAATAGTTTTGTGAGAGAATTGTTAATTAATCTTTAGTTTTTTGTGTTCTCGAGATCGATTAGCATTTTGGAAGTACTTTTGTTGCTTTTTGAAAACAGAATTTTGTTTTCATTGCTGTGCAGATGAACCTGGTAAGCAGGTTAGAAGTGCGATAAGGTTAAAGAATACCAGCAGGTCTCATGTGGCTTTCAAGGTCTTTTTTTTTTTTCAATTCTTTTATCTACTTAAATATAATATATTGGTAATTTGGTACTATCCCATGTTACAGTCCCAGTAAAGTTACCGGGCCGGCTTCTTCGCATTAATACTACTTACTGCAACTTTGTTTTCAGTAATGTTATTCGATGTCCCCGAAATCCCGGTGTTAGATTTTTTTTATTAGTTATAGGGAACTGTGAACTTTTTTAAAATTAAATAGAAATTTCGGGTTACATCTTATGTTGCTGGCACGTTAATGTAACCGGCTGGCATGTTTTTGGTAATGTTACTTGATGTCCTGGCAAACCCGGTGTTGTAGCAGTTCCCATCATAAAGTATTAGAGATTTTATTTATTTATTTTTTTTTTTTTTAAGCTGTAATTGTAAAATTTTCAAATTTATTTTATTCTTCTGATTGTGTTTGTTTGTTGATGGTTTAGTTTCAAACAACTGCGCCAAAGAGTTGTTACATGAGGCCACCTGGCGGCATACTTGCACCTGGAGAAAGCATTATTGCAACTGGTATGTTTAGAGTTTGATGTGGATTGAGGTTGTAAACGTTGTTCAATTTTGTTGTGTTTATTGTAGGTTTGGTTTTTGTTCTTGGGATTTAAGTTTGTTTTGTAAATGTGATGGCGTGTAGTTTTCAAGTTTGTGGAGCACCCAGAGAACAATGAAAAACAGCCACTGGATCAGAAGAGCAGGGATAAGTTTAAGATCATGAGTCTGAAAGTGAAAGCAGGAATAGACTATGTGCCTGAGCTGGTGAGTCATCTGAGTATTTTTTTTGCTACAATGTTGCTTTGCCTCTATGTTTTGTTATGATTGGATTGAGAAAAATGCTTCTGGATTGAAAGATAAGCTATTTTATGGTTTCAGATAATTGGTTTTAACTTTTTCATTGTTTATTAATCTCAAATTTCAATGCAGAAATTGTAAAGTCTATCCGAGGTTTCATGATGGCAATTATATGTGTTTTGCCAAGGGAATAATTAAGATTTTTGTCAATGTTTGTTTGAGTGGGAGTACATTCTTGGAATATTAAAAGGTGGAATTGCAAAGAAGACTTTTTAATATTCTTTCTTTTATGCGGATTTTGCATTTGTGGCTTATGTATATGGGAATGAGAGAGCAGTTTGAATTTCCTTAGTACATGAGATTTAAATTGGTTACATGCTTATATTTTTCATTTTGTTGGGTGTACTTGTTATCTTAGTAGTATCCACATAATGTTGTATGAGAAATGTTGTATGAAAATGATGTATGTGTAGTATTACTCTTATATAATAATGTTCTGGTTTATGAGAATAACCCAAATTTTGTTACTTGTGTATTGCAGTTCGATGAACAAAAGGATCAAGTGACTGTTGAGCGAATTTTGCGGGTTGTATTCCTAGATGCAGTGCGTCCTAGTCCTGTAAGTGTGATTTGTATAGTTTGGATATTTCTTATAATTGAATTATTTGGAAATTCTGTGTAATTGAGTCAATAATTGACTTCATTGATGGTGATAGCTAGTAATGACAATGCTATTAATTGTTTCGCTGAAGGCATTGGAGAAACTCAAGCGTCAGTTAGCCGAAGCTGAGGCTGCTCTTGAAGCACGTAAGAGACCTCCACCAGACACAGGTCCCCGGGTGGTTGGGGAAGGTCTTGTAATAGATGAATGGGTATGAATATTGAATCGGTCTTAATAAATGCTTAACTCTCTGAATCTTTTCTTCCCACCTAACAGAGTATTTCCTTTTTTTATTTTTTCTTTTTCTTTTTATTTTTTTAAACTTTTTCAGAAGGAGCGAAGAGAGAAATATCTGGCTCGGCAACAGGTTGAAGCAGTTGACTCGGTGTGAGGTGTCATTCCACTCATTCTGCAAGCAATTTATCTACCCAGATGGGTACGCTGTATGATTTAACCCCTCAATCTTCAGTTTTTCTTGAGAGAGGCGGTCCAGCGCTTCGTGTAGAAAAGAAAAATATTGAATATCATGCCTCAAATGGCTACACGGAGCCACAGTACTAGATTTTTGGATGAGCCCTTTTCTTGTAGATAATGCTTTTGCTGTGTTATGATAATAATCTAGATGCGAAATGTATGATCACCTCATTTTGTATACCTTCAGGCTTCAGTTTTAGGGTGCTTATGTTTGTGTCCAAGTTTTTGCCCTTTTTTTTCTCGGGTGTAATATATTATTAAATAATATTAATGATTTTACCGGATTTGTAGTGTATCTTCTGCATTTTTGGTTCTGAACATCATCTTTTTCCATTATGCTGTGAGTTGTGAATGTGAAGGTTAGTCTTGATCAGATTCAGAAAATTGGTTTTTGTTTGCAAAATGGAAATGGCAACAGGGCATTTGTGGATCATTTTAGGATGAGCTTAATAGACAACAATTACTATCCAGGGAGAGAAGTAACATCAAAATTGACTTGCCCATGAAATGGTTGTTGAGAAAAGTGAAGTGGCTGTTACCATCAATGTTCCACAAAGAATAATTTTGAGACTTGAAAAACAGCTGGAGGCTAATATCTGATTTTCTGATTGATTTATTCTTTGCTAAATAAACCCACTTTACCCACCTATCATACACTCATTTAAATTCATTTTTAAGGGTTTTTTTTTTTTTTTTTTCCTTCTTATCAGGAGGTGTTTGGATCAGTTTATGCATACTTTAACTGATCTCTTGGGGTCTTAAAGTTCATAATTAGGTAAACTTTAATCACTTCTATTAGAGTATATGGATATTCGAACTTAAGAGTTTATGAAATCTTAGATTGCTAGTTTACTATCATGCTACCGGTGGTGTTATTTCTCTTTTAACCCACGAAAACTTGGATTCTACCATTGACCCTTGCACACACAATAAAATAAGAAAAATTGTTTTGACTTTTCCCATGAGGTCCTTTTTCCAAAATCACTTTTAGGTAAAAAGTAATTCTCAATGTGACAAGACTAAGCTCTTAAGGAGTTAAGAATTCGACTTTTATTACGAGTCCACTATGATATTATAATTATACCTCGTGTTTTACCATTTCTACTGTTTAAGAGGTTCAATTTTAGTCAAGTAACAAATACAGATAACTAGCTGGCTGGTGCACCCAAATGGCTGTTTTAGATTCCCTATAAAGACTGCAATAATAGCCCCAACCACCTCCAATATAATATGAGATCTTATCCTCCTGTTTTGGTTCATTTATGATGTATTCCTAACTGAAATGATTTGATTTGATGCATCATAATTTCTGTCAACTGCCTTCTTGGTGTCAATATCACTGTTGATTTGAGCTAAGAATGGCTTCAGTATTTTCAAAAAGCTTATTCAGATATTGTACTAGAGTCTTATTACTTATTGAGCTTTTAGATGGCAAATCAACCAAGAATCAAGATTGAGAAAACTGATTTGTGTTACCTTCTTATTCCAATGACTAAATATGTAACCTTGAAGAGAAATCTGAGGCCCCTAAAAGATATATACAAAGCACCTGTCTTCACAATTGGTCTGTCAGAAATTTTTGTAAGTTGCTGTTACTTTTAGTGAAACCACTCTAAATTAAGTTTAATCAGCCATCATAAATGCATTCAACTGAGTCATTAACCATTCTGAAAGAAACTAAGTAGTAAATGCATTGATGAACTGATCCTTCCACTACTATTAGCAAAAGCAGTTCTAGGGCCTAGCACCAGAAGTTCTGATTCTACTTCTCAAGTCAAATATGCCATAAATAGTTCCGGCTACAATGTCCCCAACTATTCCATCAACCTTCTGCTCAATTACTTAACTCTTGCCAAATTGCTGAGGTCAGGTTTGGTCAATGTTATGTAAGTTGATTTCAGTCTGCTTTAGTACCTGAGTCATTTTTCTTTTCCCTTTTTATTACACACTTCACTCTATTAAAAGATATAGAAAGTGATTCTCAAAAATCGCAAAACAAAAAATCATACGATGAGATAAAATGTACAAGCAATGAGTTAATTACTTTAAAAGATCAAAACGAACCCTTTTATTATGAATTCTTTAATTCATAAGGAATCAAATCTCTCCAAATAGGATTTGAAACTGCAACCAATTAGTTAACACTCTCGCAACCACTTTACCATAAAAGAATAAGGATTTAACTAACTAGACTAGATTCTATGATTTAATTTTAAATTGAAAAAAGAAGATAATAAACTTGGTGATTCATAAGACAATATATATGAGTATCAAACTCATACATGGTAATTTGAATCCTCAAATATATCTGACTTAAATTTTTATTTGGTAAATTGAAAGAATAGACCATGCATGTACTTTTGATAAGCATCTATGGTCTCTATGTAAGTGAGTCTTTTCATTGAAAAACAGTCTGAAATTTGTTAGCTGATCATGCTCTAGTAAGATTCTGGTGACACTGACCATTGGATTATATTCAGTCTAACATATAATTTGAGTCCCATTCAGGATTTTAGCATGTCTCACCCTCTTTCAAATTCAATATATTCTGCACAAACCATTCATTTCTAGTGCAATGGATAAACATTTCAAGGTACATTCTGAGTACGAACAGTTTCTGAGTGTTCACCAGACACAATGACAATGACCCATGACTGAAAGAGTGCTTTAGAAAAAGTCATGAAAGAAATAAAGACAAAATGGGATAGAACATTATTGATGTCCATGTACACTGCATTGCATATATTCCCTATCAAGTGAATTTGAAATCTTAACTTGAGGAGAAACTGTCAACACTCAAATATGGGCACTGTCTTTCCCCATAAAGGGTCTCCTGGTTTTTGCTAGTGGATTTTATTTGGAATTGTATTAAGACTTGCTTTACTTGTCTATATATTCATACATCATTTATCTTCTTTGACAGCACTAAAATTCACTTGAAACCTTCTCCTGCTTGAAGCTAAGATGAGGTTTACAAACAAGGCTTGTGTAATTGTCACACTGGGAGCTGCTTTTGGACTTAGAGATCAATTGGTCAAGTCAAAATCGCATAGTCTTAAGCCGGAATGGACTGGAATTGTTTCTTCTATGTTGCAAGCAAAACATGTTTCAGGTTCTTTTAGTGGATCAAAGAAGGCTCACCAGACTGCAAATCAGAATCGTCAGGCCGCAGAGGAGTCCTTGAGGGTGGTGGTCTATTTGAGTTGCTGGGGACCCAACTGAGTGGCCTCACAGATTCAGAGAGCTGTTTATCCAAACCTATCCATCTCTTAGGTCAACCAAATCCCCTAAAAGATTCATGGTAATTAGCCCAGGATGATAAAATCTGTGTTCATCAACAAGCAGTGGCACTAGCTATCTCTGTTTAGAAACTAATTGTAAAGATCACCTTTACATTAAGGTGTTAATTGACTGGAAATGAAAATATTTATGACATTAATGCAAACTTCTCTCTTCATATACATATATATGATATGATTCTACATATAGTGACAATACAATAAGAAAGAAAAGTGAAAATTATAGAGAAGAGGAGTCCAAAAATAAACAAAAAGAAGAGAAATCAATACCTAAACAGAACACATCCTGTACATAATGGCCTGAAGAAACAATACAATAAAAACTCAAATCCAGTTTCATATGTTGTCCGGCAACTGAAAGTTCTGTGAACACAAAATTTGATGAGAGTTGCTTTGAACAAAGACAGTAACACCACATTTGCTACTGTTGAAGCCTTGCCATAGAGGGAAATTAACAGTTCCTGAAACATTCTTCTTGGCCGAGATGTCTTTCACAGTGCATAGTTTCTCTAGCTTCCGAACAACATAGTCATTTGACAGGACACGCCCTTTGTTCTCTCCCTTTGGAACGTCAGTCACCAACCCACTTTCATATAGAGCCACCATCACATTTGCGCCTTGATTATCCACCTTGTTCCTCAAAGCTCCTGTTAGAGAAACTTGCAAAGATTCTGGTGTAGGCCTTTGGAAAGTTGCCTGTATTATAAAATTAACCACTTCTTTCAACATCAAAATTGCATAATTTTTGCTTCGTGCTATAAATACTCAGTTTGATCAAACACAAGTAGCAAATTATCAAAAATTATGCAGTTCTTTACCCTAGTAAGGGCAAATTATCCATGAGGTGACTTCTGGAAAGGTGAGGTAGAATTTTTGGCATTCAAAAGCTGTTCAAATGTCACTTCTAACAAGTCTTAACATCATATTTTATTCAATTTTTATATTGATTTTCGGGATTAAAATTATATAATTTGAATCATGATATATTAAGTTGGCTACTGGATTGAAAAATTATACAATATATTTTTCTTTTCCAATAGTATCTGTAATGTCAGTCGTACGAAATGCTAAGAAAAGGTCTATCTTAAGTGAAGGGGTGGGCGGGTACCCACTAGTTCTAGGGATTTGGAACCGACTAAAATCTTGGAACCGAAACCTGTGTTCAGAACCTGTAACACAGGATCCGATTCCAGGTACCGAGAAAAATTCATAACCCCCCATTATTCACAAAAATGACAAAAATGACAATACACCCCCAAAAAGTACACCCTCAAAAGTTTACAAAAATTACAGTTTAATCCCATTCCACCCAAGTCTTAGTTCTGATTCCGATTTTAGTTCATGTTCCTATAGTGGTAAAATTGGAACCGCACAATATCGATTCCAATTTTTTAAAACTGAAACCCTAACTATTCGTCGATTTTGGTTTTGACTGGTTCTTTTGCACACCCCTAATCTTAAGACAACAATTTTATTTCCCCATCACCAAATCCTTTTAGATCAAATAATACCTAACATCTCACCAAATTCAAACACAAGGGCCCATATGAGCAATTAACATATTTCTAATTATCAAATTTGTGAAGTTCAAGATCTATGAATTATGATTCACGAACACCCAAAAATATAAATGTAAAAGAGCAATAATCACCTGTAAGGTAGGAGCAGGGAACCTGGGTGCACCAGTAATCGCAGACAATAATCCATCCTGATCATTCCCCTGACACTGGGCTCTCCCCTGGATCACCACCTGTGGCGTAAACATTGTATCAAGATTCAACGCCTCCACGTAAGCCTTTTGTCGAACAGTCCACTGGCTGGATCCGTACGGGTCTTTCCAGCCCATGTAGTCCCAGTAGTCCACGTGGTATGCTAACACAATCACCGGAACCTCCAGCTCGAAGTCCCCTCTTCCTAGCCGTGACACCAGCACCTCCGCCTCCGGCGACGTTTTGCAACCCTGTGAAGAAAACAGCTCCACCAGCACTGCACCACCCCGCCGTTGCTCCTCCGCCGACACATCCGCCGTTACATTCTTTTCTTGCGCATGGTTTAACGATACCTTCGTCACTGCATCATTGCTTTTTCCCCAGCCAAAACAGGAAAAGAGACGACGCCCCATTTCGTTCTTATCTCCTTCCCGCGGCGAGGCGTCTCTTCAGCTGAAAAATGAGTTCCGGGTGATGGCGGTGGCGGTGATAATGAATTAGCTAGATTACAAAGAGGGAGAGAAGATTAAAAATAAAAATAAAGGAAATTCGTATGTACCTTTTTTTTTCTTCTTTAGAACAGAGAGAAAAATGAAGAAACCAAAAGGTTTTTAACGTAAGGAATAAACGTGAGTGGTGAAGAGAGAAAGGTGGCAAGGAAGAAGGAAGGTTTGAATCGTTCTCTTTAATGTTTTCTATTTTTGTTTCTGTTTCAATCGCATTGATTGGTCGACAAATGTTGAGTTGTGATTGGGCGGTGTGCTGCGTCGGTGAGTTAAGAAGAAGATGCAGTGCAGTTGGGTGGAGTGGTAGGAACTGGGCAACAACAAAATTGAGCTGGAATGGTTGAAAAGCCATCTTTAACTGTAAAGAAATAAAATTGAATAACTTAGTGGGCACGTTGCCCACATCTTTTTTTCGGTTGGTGACAAAATTGGTAGTTAGTTTGAATGGTATTCTTTGTCAATAAGAAAGGAAGATTTTATGTCTTGGTGTCGTATTTGATGGATCTTCTCAAATCTATGTAGATGTGGTTTTCCATGTGTATTTATTTACTAATTTGAGAATCTGAGATCTATTTCTCAACAACGTACATAATATATGGAATTATGGCTTTATTCCAGCAACTTTAGTTAGGGATCGGCACGGGCCGGGGACCCCTCTCTCCAGCCCCGACCTGAAAGCCCAAGAGAATTCTCCGGTCCCGGCCCGCAGCCCCGAATTAGGCCCGATCCCCAACTTGGAAATTCGGGAAATCCCTATTTGGGGTTTTGCATTATAATTTTTTTTAATTTTTAATAATTAAAAATTATTATTATGATTTATTTTAATGAATTAAAATATCAAAATTATAATTATTATACATTATACATATATACAAATATATTATATATTAATGGTATAATATTATGTATTATGTATTAAGTAACAAGTATTAACATATGATATTATGATATTATGATTATGGATAATAACATATTATATATAATGTATAATTTTTGTTTTATAGCATATTATGTATGATATATAATATATAATATATTATAATAAATTCTAAATAAATTATACCATATATATTATAATGTCTCATTAATATTCTAAATAATACATAATATATTCCATATGATACATTATACATATATATTATAATAAGTTCTAAATAAATAACTACCATAATATAATAAGGGCAATTAGGTAATGGAATTGAAATAATGATTCAACGACGGACAAAAAAAAATTTATAATGATTTATTGATTTATTATAATTAATCAAAATATCAAATGATACATTATACATAAATAATATATATATTATGTATATCAAATGATATATTATACATATATAACATATTTATTATGTATTACAAATATTTATAATGATTTATTATATTTAATATAGTTTTATTTATTACCTTGTATATGGTTTCATAAAATACTCACATAATTATAATTTGTTTTTGTATAATTTATGACTTCATTGATTGATTTTCAATTTTCAAAATTAATATAGGATTAAATAGTTAAAATTATATATATATGGGGCGCGGACGGGCCGGGGCAAGACCAATCCCATCCCTGAATTCGGAGACCAATTTTTAGCCCGAGCCGAACTCAAATCCCGAATAATTTGGAGAAACTCCGCGTCGTTTGGGCCTGGTCGGGACGGGTATTATGCCCATCCCTTACTTTAGTAATAAACTTTAAAAATTGTAGAAAAATAAAGAAAGACTCTTTCTTTTAATTACTTTTCGATAGAGACTCTTGAGTGTATCACTCAATAGATTCTGAGTTCGAGTCATTTTTTAGATGCTAATAGAGATAGTCATTGAAGTTTTTATTTAACCGATAACTCTAAAGTTCTAAAAGATTAGTTAAGTATGTATAAACTGTTCAGACACCCGTTAGAAAAATAAAAAAGGACATAAAAATTGTAAAAATTACTGGACCGTCGGCATAAAAGATACGATATGTGTTAATACAGACTTTTCAAAGGAGTGGTTACGAGGTTTGAGTTGTAAAAAGTCGGCGAGATTTGAACCGGTCGATATTTGACTTGTTCTTCTTACAGGCAGGCTTAGCTTGGGCGGTGAGATTTGGTGAAAAAAGAAAAAGGTACACGTAAGGCTTTGGGAAATTGGGCTTTGATTTTCTTCAAAATCTTAAGCTGTTTGATGAAGTCATGGTGACCACTAAACCACCAAAGCTAATATCAATGTAAGACAAAAACCCAATTTGTAACATGTGGCAGTTAACCTACAATAATTCTGGGCCAGTCCAAAACTGCCCAAATCCAGTCCAGTGCAGCCCAGCCTCATGACACATAAGAGAAATTGAGTCACATCAGGACTTCCGGTTTGGGATAAAAAAAATCTTCAAATTTACTACTAGAGATGCAATTCATTTGATTTGATAGGTAAATGCTCTTATCTTCTTTTCTTCTAATCATAATCATGTATATATAAAATGAACTGGTGGGCACATATGGTCAAATTAATATGAAAATTTTCTAATTAATTATATATTGTCTCATTTTTTTTTTCTTAAATTGGCTTAGAGTTAGAAAGAAATTATACATTATCACATAAGAAACTCGTTTTTTTTTTTTTTTTTTTTTTTTAATGACGAAAGTATCCAGACCAGTTTACGCACATTGCAACTAAACCCTCGAGAGCTTAACTACCGACTGGGTAAGAACTCTAGTGACCACCCCTATGGCTATCAACAATCGAAGAAGAACTCGAACTCAAACCTCTTAAGTAATATACTCAAGAGTCCCTATCAAACCACTCAGCTACCAGAGATCGATTAAAGAACCTCCTTATAGTGGATGTAAAATTTCCATCTTCATAGACTTATACCACTTAGTCAAATTACATCTATAACTCAAAATTTTTCTTTCTTTCTTACCTGCTCCTGCTTAAAGAATTCCTTTGCGTGTGGTTCAACCAAATTACTTTTGTTAGTTAAGTCATGCTTCATAATTGACAAATCGACATAATAAAACTTCATATTGTTAAGAAAAAGCAGCGAAATTTCTAGCCCCCAGCCTCCCAATCTCCTCCTCACACATTAGATGGACCACTACAAAACTCGACAAAACATGCCATTCGGTCATATTTCGCCCGCCAACACCTGTCAAAATCTTACTGTAGTTCACAGACAACGAACCACGTGTCCATGATCATACAAAGTGGGTCCATATAATCCTTGTAATTTCCCAGATTTAAGCAGCATTCATGCAGTGTGCTTCCTCATCCTCTCTCTCCAATGGTGTCAGATGCAACTCTTTCATCAAAAGAAAACATATATAAGTATAGATATATATATGGCCACTCTTTAATTAGTCGAATGTGTAAATATCAGTTGCATATTTATATAAGTAATATATGCACTCTTTAATTAGTCGAATGTGTAAATATCGTTGCATTTTACAGTGAATTTTTTTTCTGCATAAATGCAGACACCAAAGGGTCCACAGGCCAATCAATATCAAATAGGTCGTTGGCTCGAGGCCATGGTATCTTTTGGTGACCACAAAGCCAAATCAATACGTGGTTGGCCCACTGGCCCTGAGGCATTTATGCTCAACTCAATATATATCTCCACCACCAGCTGCATTGCTTTCATCCATAACGTAGTTAGTTTATACTAGCTCACTCATCTGTCTCATTGAAGAAATCATTTATCTTTGTATAACGCTTTTGTATTAGCGGCCATGTTAGAGGCAAAGCAGTCATCGGCGAGACTGATATGCTCGAAACCATGCGCAAGATGCCCTTGATTGGCTGCCAAAGCCCTTGATTTCTTTGATGTCACTGAGGCCACCGAGATTGCCCGCTTCATTAAAAAGTGTAATATAAACAAGAAAGGAATTTCTTGCATGTTTGAATTGTGGTGGCTTAATTCATTACTGAGTTTGTTTTGTGTTTGATGACATGCAGGAATTTGATAGGACTTACGGAGCTGGATGGCAATGCTTGTGGGAACTGATTTTGGTTCATTTGTGACACACTGTTTTGATGTTTCATATATTTTCAAGTCGGTAGCCTTGCGATTTTGCTCTTCAGGTTCTGCAGCTGGTCAAGAGACTGATGAACCTGCAGCAAACCAGTTTGCCACATTAAGACTGTCAAAACATATGTTTTTTAGTTATACTTTCGTTTTCTGCAATATCTTTTGTATCCTCTCTTGATTAGTTGTGTGTAGACTAGCTAAAGAACAAGAAAAATATTGAAGTTTCAAATTCAATCTTGTATCCCTGTTTTCATTTTTGTATCCAGTTTCAATATTGGCCTGTGTGGTATATTGTATAGTTTAGCACACAGATGATACCAGTAGCAAGTGGACAATTTTTAAATTTCAGGAGTCGATTTAAGAGAAATTGGAGTTTAGATTTGGTGATTTGTTGAATGCATATTTAAGAATTATAAGAAGAGGTAAAGAATCCTAGAGTTATTATGTTCATGGTTGAAATTAACTAGTTTGATTCTCGACTGTAACAAGAAAAGACCAAATTGGGTCCAAATTAGCTAAGCCAGAATTTTAATTTCAATTATCAGTACAGTTAACCATTTTTAATTGCGTGCAGCACTGCAGTAATGTCTTTGTCTAGCTTGAGAAATGAAGAGTATGCTTGAAACTAAGCATAGAATTTCAGTCTTTATGAATCGTATTCACAGGATTTATTCGAAGCCAAGTGCTGGGGAACACTGTTCACTTTATCTCTGGCATCAAATTCACCCTTTTTCTTATCCATTTATTCTTCCTTTGTAGGGTCATTCTTCAATCGTGGAATAATGCTAAAGAGAACTTCTATTAATATTCCCCTTGCAAGCCAAATGTGCTAAAAAAAACAAAGATTGCTATGCCAACCACCGCTGAGTTAACTGATGGTAAAAAAGCAAAGGAATCTAAGTTTACATGGTCTTCTGGGTACAAACGTTAATGACCACTCTGGTTCAAGTCCCCGTAGCCCTTAATAGTGACGGCCACTAAAGTTTGTACTCGATTGATAGTTTTAGCAGATTAGTTGAAGTACGTATAAGTTGGTCCAAACAACCTTGATTATAAGGAAAAAAAAAAAAAGATTACTATGCATACATAAAGACATATCTACCATTACACCAAAAATGTTTCTTTCAGAGGGGCTAATTCATCTAGGTAAAAGAAGTATCCCTCGAAAATACGGCTCTGTTTGGTTCCCTTTTTGGAATACTACGATTAGTATTTCCAATAAAGTTAAACAGTAAAATTACAAAAACTCACAATATTATTCAATATTATTTAACTTTTTTTAAACCCTTTAAATTTATTAATTTAATTAAATACCCCTAAATATTTTTTAAAAAATTAAAAAAAAACCCCAGCAACCCATATTTACCAGATTCCGGCCACCACCACTGGAAAATGGCCAGAATCTGATATAATGGCACACTACCGGCTGAATCTGGCCGGTAGTGCGTCGATCTAGCATTTTTCAGCCAGATCCACGATGGATCTAGCCGGAAAAGGCCAGATCTTTGGCCGTAGCCAGTCGTCAACGACGGCCAACAGATGGTCTTCGTTGACCATCAACGACGGTCGTATCTTTAACCGTCGTTGACGAGCAAATACGGCCAGATCCACCATGGATCTGGCTGGAAAAGGCCATATCGGCACACGGCCGGCAAGATCCAGCCGGTCATGCATCGATACGATGACTCCGGCCACCCTCCGGCGGTGGTGGTCGGCTGTCCATATTTAATGGGTAGGTTGAGAGTGTTTTTGTTAACTTTTAATGTTTTATTATAGGGATGTTTAGTAAAAAAACAAACATAGGAAGTATTTTTATTAATTTTCAAATCCTACATCGTAATGTCCGCCCAATTCAACTTTTTTCAATAAAACTTTTCTAAAAAATATAAAAAAGTGAACCAAACGGAGCCTACGTTTTTTCAAGAACTATAAGTACTCGAATACTGTTGTGAATGCAGACACCAAAGGGTCCACAGGGCCAATCAATATCAAATAGGTCGTTGGCTCGAGGCCATGGTATCTTTTGGTGACCACAAAGACAAAATCAATACGTGGTTGGCCCACTGGCCCCGAGGCATTTAAGCTCAACTCAATATGTAATCTCCACCACCAGCTGCATATGCATTTCATCCATAACGTAGTTAATTTATACTTAGCTCACTCATTCTGTCTTCATTGAAGAAATCATTTATCTTTGTATAAACGCTTTTGTATTAGCAGCCATGTTAGAAGGCAAAGCAGTCATCGGCGAGACTGATATGCTCGAATCCATGCAGCAAGATGCCCTTGATTTGGCTGCCAAAGCCCTTGATTTCTTTGATGTCACTGAGGCCACCGAGATTGCCCGCTTCATTAAAAAGGTAAATATAAACAAGAAAGGAATTTCTTGCATGTTTGAATTGTGGTGGCTTAATTCATTACTGAGTTTGTTTTGTGTTTGATGACATGCAGGAATTTGATAGGACTTACGGAGCTGGATGGCAATGCATTGTGGGAACTGATTTTGGTTCATTTGTGACACACTGTTTTGGATGTTTCATATATTTTCAAGTCGGTAGCCTTGCGATTTTGCTCTTCAGGGGTTCTGCAGCTGGTCAAGAGACTGATGAACCTGCAGCAAACCAGTTTGCCACATTAGAGACTGTCAAAACATAATGTTTTTAGTTATACTTTCGTTTTCTGCAATATCTTTTGTATCCTCTCTTGATTAGTTGTGTGTAGACTAGCTAGAAGAACAAGAAAAATATTGAAGAGTTTCAAATTCAATCTTGTATCCCTGTTTTCATTTTTGTATCCAGTTTCAATATTGGCCTGTGTGGTATATTGTATAGTTTAGCACACAGATGATACCAGTAGAAAGTGGACAATTTTTAGAATTTCAGGAGTCGATTTAAGAGAAATTGGAGTTTAGATTTGGTGATTTGTTGAATGCATATGTAAGAATTATAAGAAGAAGGTAAAGAATCCTAGAGTTATTATGTTCATGGTTGAAATTAACTAGTTTGATTCTCGACTGTAACAAGAAAAGACCAAATTGGGTCCAAATTAGCTAAGCCAGAATTTTAATTTCAATTATCAGTACAGTTAACCATTTTTAATTGCGTGCAGCACTGCAGTAATGTCTTTGTCTAGCATGAGAAATGAAGAGTATGCTTGAAACTAAGCATAGAATTTCAGTCTTTATGAATCGTATTCACAGGATTTATTCGAAGCCAAGTGCTGGGGAACACTGTTCACTTTATATCTGGCATCAAATTCACCCTTTTTCTTATCCATTTATTCTTCCTTTGTAGGGTCATTCTTCAATTGTGGATAAGATATGAAATAATGCTAAAGAGAACTTCTATTAATATTCCCCTTGCAAGCCAAATGTGCTAAAAAAAAAAACTAAGATTACTATGCAAACTACGACTGAGTGATAAGTGATCAGATGTTAAAAAAGCAAAAGAATCTAAATTTATATAGTCTTCTGGGTATAAACTTTAGTGACCATTCGAGTTCGAGTTTCTACAACCCCTAATAGTTGTGGCCACTAGAGATTATACCTAACTAGTAGTTTTAAGATTTTAGCAAATTAGTTAAAGTACGCGTAAGCTAGTCCGAACATTTGATCATTAGAGAAAAAAAAAATTTAATATACATACATAAAGACTTATCTACCATTACACCGAAAAATGTTTCTTTCAGAAGGGCTAATTCATCTAGGTAAAAGAAGTATCCCCCAAAATTATGTTTTTTCAAGAACTATAAGTACTCGAATACTATTGTTATTTCTCTTGTTGGAAAATGTATTTTGTTAAAAGCAGTCGTTAATGTACCATTTTTTTACATGCATTACCTCTAAAAAGCATGATCACATATATATTTCAAACTATGAATAATATTTAATTCTAAGGAAAGACATCCGTCATAAAATTACTATCTTACTACCTAATTAAACTATTCTTTTAAGTTAGAAATTGCTCTTTCCAACTTCTACATTAAGAAAAGGAAGCATTCTATATACAAACTTAGTGCCTTATGGAGAAAGAGAACTAAATTACTCCGTCAAATTAAACAGAATGAATTCCACAATCCATACATGGTTTCATCATAAGTTCTCAGAAATCAAAATCATCTTGATTCGGCTTTGGTGAAGTCAACAAAGCGGTATAAAGCCTGAGCCTATCCTCCCCCAACGATGAGCACCTCGACAAAGGTCTCCGAGGCCGTATAAACGACAACGAAGTAAGCGTTAAACGGTGCTTGTACCGCCTCCAAGCCAGCTGAATTGCCACAGCCGCCCAGGTCCTCCATCCTGGAGAATAATATCTTGCACTTCTCTTCACTCTTTCATTCACAAATGTGTACCTGAAATGTTGTGTCACATATTTTACATCCTCAGCTTCCAGGCNTTGTTATTTCTCTTGTTGGAAAATGTATTTTGTTAAAAGCAGTCGTTAATGTACCATTTTTTTACATGCATTACCTCTAAAAAGCATGATCACATATATATTTAAAACTGTGAATAATATTTAATTCTAAGAAAAGACATCCGTCATAAAATTACCATCTTACTACCTAATTAAACTATTCTTTTAAGTTTTAAGTTAGAAATTCCTCTTTCCAACTTCTACATTAGGAAAAGGAAGCATTCTATATACAAACTTAGTGCCTTATGGAGAAAGAGAACTAAATTACTCCGTCAAATTAAACAGAATGAATTCCACAATCCATACATGGTTTCATCATAAGTTCTCAGAAATCAAAATCATCTTGATTCGGCTTTGGTGAAGTCAACAAAGCGGTATAAAGCCTGAGCCTATCCTCCCCCAACGATGAGCACCTCGACAAAGGTCTCCGAGGCCGTATAAACGACAACGAAGTAAGCGTTAAACGGTGCTTGTACCGCCTCCAAGCCAGCTGAATTGCCACAGCCGCCCAGGTCCTCCATCCTGGAGAATAATATCTTGCACTTCTCTTCACTCTTTCATTCACAAATGTGTACCTGAAATGTTGTGTCACATATTTTACATCCTCAGCTTCCAGGCCAAACGCCTCCGTAGTTTCCAGGGTCACCAGAGTCGATGAAGACGGCGGAAGCCTTTCGATGAAGGGTCTTCTCAGGCACCAGGACAAGAGCTCATCGCCACTGAAGTTTCCGGGGCCTAACATGCAGCAACTCTTTATATTATTATGCAGAATTTGACTACTCTGAAGATGTCCCCTCACCACAAATAACATTCTTTGAACTGGGTCACCCTCTCTTGTTATCTACATAAAAACAATTATATAATCACACTAAACTTTTCAGAATAAACATCCAATATATTGAAATTAATCAAGAAACAATGGAAATTATATTGGAGCTTACAGTTTCTCCCTTCGTAAATATGAGGGACTTCACTCGGTCACAAATATTCTCCAGGACTAGATCATCCATATGCTGGAATAATGGTACCTGAAACATATAATTGAATTGCAGTAAATCCCAGTAAGAAATGATGCACTGACAACGTATATATTATTTATTTTGTTGGGCCCAAATCACTCTTTTGAAATTGTATAAAGTTTTCTTTTTGGTCTTTATTCGAAGTAATTAGTAAAGCAGGAAAAAAAAAAAAAACAACTTTTGACAAATTTCAAGGCTTAGATTGAGCTAATAATTGGTGGTACCTGTCTCACTAAGTCCAAACAGAGGTGATACTTGATGTCTCTCCTTAGGCCCTCAGGCAGATTACTGATCATCTCACACTCATCGACCCCGCGCATGGCGGCCCATCGTTGCCTTTCATAGTTGCGGACTCGGTGCCTGAAACCCTGCGGCAAGTGCCTCTTCCTCATCCACCATTCTATGTTCCTCATCTTCAACTGCATCGCTTGTTTTTTTGATGTTGTTGCATGCAAGAACACCTTCATCCCCATCAAATTATAAGACTTTTAAAAATTCGAATTTAAACCCCCGTTAATGTTAACGAGAATCGATAAGAGTTCACAAAATTTTATCATTTTATGTCAAAAAAAAAAAAAAATTCATGCATACAAATTAAATATGGTCACTATGAAAATAATTAAAATGGTACGAGTATAGCTTAATATTTCCCATCATAAATAGTGCGAAAATAGACCTTGCACATTGGGCGTATTAAAAGGTTGTCGTTTGCATGCAAATTATTTAGTATACAAAACAAACCAAGCTACAAGTGTTCATATGTAAGGACAGGAATAAAGACACGAACATGTTCTGTCGGTATCAACCACCCATCATGCTCGTTTGATATGAAACAAATTACTGCCTCAGAAATTTGAGTACGACTCTGATTTCAGCCAATAATCACAATGGGAGGCTTATTGGAGCATTATATTTTACATTTATTCGCATTTTTTATATATAATATATAATACTTTACTTGTTTCACTGTATCATATATATGTTTCAGAAATTCAATTATATAATCAATTATGTGGTTAATTAGAGTATAAATAATTACCTTGATATTTCCAATCAACATGGTCACAAGAAGAAGTCCACTGGTTAGAACAATAATGTTGAAAACAACTTCTAACCATTCTGTTGTGCTCTCCAAGTTGCCGAAAGTGCTGATGATGATCATAAATCCGTAAAGGTATCAGTCAATAGAAGAAACTTTCAACAGATGGAAACAAAAGTCTAATTTGATTTCTAATTAACAAACAAATATTTTATGTTTCGATTCTGTTCAGAACAAAGAAAAGAATTTTAAACTGTTCTTTACGAATTAAATAACTGTTTCTCCTTTATTTGGTCTGTCGAGAGCCAGGCAGAACTGTAGGAAAGTCAATTATTAAAGCCAGCTATTACACGACACAAGCATTAATGAAGAACTAAACAAAGTATCAACAGCTCTAATTTTGAAAAAACCCAGAATGGAGAAGGGTGAAAAGAATAGTACCTGAGAGTCATTAGGCCCCAAAAAATGGGAAACAGTATTTTCTCCAAGCGGCTATCATTGGTGACAAGTTGAACAGTCCATTTATAAGCGCCATAGTCATAGTTATTGGAACTGTCTATGCATGTAAATCTTGCTTGCTTGTTCTCTGCCCAGGCCAGTCTCGCTCTATCTCTCACCATGTTTGAAGTTGTGCCATAGTAAATAGAATCTTTGCATGACAGTAATCGAAGGTCACAACCATTTGTTACTCTGCATTGCTCTCTCAGGCATTTTGCAGACCTCTGAATCCCGAGCAAGTACCAACAAGCTCCTGCTGCCTGCACATATTTGTTTAAAGAATGAGAGAGAACCCATGTGACATTTTCTTGATAATTTATCAGTAATATCCCAGTTCACGTCAAGATACTGCGGATTTATCTCTTTTCCATCTTGAATAGTGAAGCTCAGAAGACGTCCCAGATTGGTACTCCAAGTCTCACTATTTGAGATGGGTAAAAGATAAATCCACAATATTTTGACAGTAGGACGAGGTGGCATATTATCAAATTCAAAAAGCTAGTTAAAATCCATTTTGCTGTCATTAATTCTCTAAAAAGACATTCACACATATAAAAACTGTTCATAAGAAGATAACACATTGTACTGTTGCACATTCAGGTTCAATTGATAGTTCAATATACCTCTATTATTTCCAGATATTTCAATATGCATCTACTGTTTCAAGAAATAGTGAATGGTAACAGTTAATGAAGGCTCAATTCTTAGTTTGAGCTCCAAGGTAGTTCAAAATGTGGCTACTACTATAGACCAGAAGGTTCTCTTGTTAAAGTAATTAACACAGTTCCTCCTTCTTCACATGAGTCACGATATCGAGACTATTGTGGATTTCACCTCATGAGAAAATCTCTTTACTTTTTTCTTTCTGGCTTATCTTTTTTCTTTTTGTCTACGGAGTTGGACCACTTTGCCCACAGATTGTAGACCTTTATACAATAGTTTAATTGTTCTAAAAGAACCCTAGTGCATGATTATAAAAAGGATTTAATCTTTGTTATAAATATATTCTCCCACCTTTATTGAAAAGCAAAAGTTTTAAGATTTTGTGTTCACAAATATCACTTCAGTTTATGGTGTCAACTTTTAAACCATAACATTATTTGTAATATTATCCTCTAATAAATGACAAAACGAGCGTGATGTTCTCAGCTCCAAAAGGATTATACTTTCAATAAAAAGTGTTAAAAGCACCGGAAAAGATTAACTTACGTGTGATGCAACAAAATATGCTATCATGTTGAGTACAATCCCCCACCAAACGGTTCCAAATATGTAGCCAGAGAGATTCTGCATGCGGCGCAGGAGGCACACCGAGTGGTAGATTTTTGGAAGATATTGAAACAAAAACATTATCAGGAACACTGTCATCACTAGAGTTATTGATCCTTTCTCCAACAACGCCGGGATCGCCACCCACAGCACAACCTGTTTACGTTCAAATTTCACAGTTTTTGTTAAAGAAATTAAGCTCAACGAGTAGCTAAAATTCAACATTCTTAAGTGATTTCATTATCGTCCTTGAGACTGCTAATAAAGTGACACAGTGGGATAATCTGACTTCTGCAACCCTTTATCATGACAGAAACACGAGTGGTTAAGTTTCTTAAATTATATTGGTACGAGAGTTGATATGTAGTTTTATTCTTTTTATCTTTCCACTTCGCCGTGGACCATCCATTGTCTAAATCTTAAGTATCAATTGAATGTTCACACGCCAATACAATATAAACCTGATCGGCTTGGACCACAGAAAGGACTAGAGATTAGAGAAAGGAAGAAGAAAAGAAGAAAAAATACTGTACAAAAATAGTTTGTGAAGAGTATTATCCATATCATGAGATAATTAAGAATTTTCTGCTAATGTTCACACGGGGTATCTGTGTCTAGAACTAGAAGTGTTTATGCAAAAAGTACTTCCAAACAAAAACTGGTATTTTCTTCAAAAAAAAAAAAAAAAAAAAACAGTAAATATACAAAAACGAAAAGTTTAAGTACTTAATTAAAATACTGTCTCAAATATAATATAAAAAAGCACTTCCAGTTTTCAACATCACCAATTCTCGAATTTTTGATAACATTGTCACTTCTAAATTCTTTCTCTCCCGAGTCTTACCTAGCAATTAGTGACCAAAGATATAGTTGGAAAATAGTGTAATTATGGGGAAACGTTAAAACAATATGCTTCCTTTAAATTTTTTGCGTGTTTAAATTAAAGATATAGTTGGAAAATAGTTTACTTTGAAGAAATGACCTTTAATCACATCACCAGCACATGCATGTTATCGCTTTTGGGAGACCGAGAACTTACTTCCATCTTCTAAATATGTCAGCTAGCTATAATTATACATCTTGATTTTAAGTTTTTTTAATTAGCTAACGCAACCCTTAATCAATATAACAAATCAAAAATGGTTATGACAGTCATGACTCTCTTGAAAAAGGAAAAATAATAATTTTATGACTCAGTGAAGAATTAATTTTCTTTCTTAGTAAAGATTTTGTATACGTGTATAGATACTATAAATGACGTAAGTTCAATAATTACCATGACGGTATTTTCTTAAAAAAATTTCATATATGGAGGAAGAGATTCCAGGTACAGAGATGAGTCAACCACCACTGAACCAGATTCTACTGCAAAAGAGAAACGTCCATGGAGTCTCTCTCTCTGTGTACAGACTCTAAATTATTTTCGTCCTTTTAGTTTAACTTGTTATTCCCCATTATGCCCTTCTGAAACTTAGAAACGACATGGTTTCATCACATGTTAGCTACCTCTACTGCATGCATATGCCCAGTTGTAAGTGTAAGACTAAGAGTAATTTCCGTTGCATGCATAAAACGACTAATTTCTTCATTTCCACTTGTCACCTTCCCCCACTTCCCTCTCTATAAATTTATATTTAAAAAAAAATGGCATGAATGGTTAGAACTCTTTGGTTTTTTTTAAACCTCAAAATGGTAAGATAGTAGAAGACGATTGAAAGTAACGACGATGATAGTGATATACTAGAAAAATGGGTGAAAAAATAAATAAAAATATATTAATTAATTAGTACCTGAGGGAGGGGGAGGATAACAAAGAGATCAAAGAAGAAACCCTTTTTAGCTTTCAAGTAACGGAGAGCCACCGAGCGTGAATTCTGCTGCTGTATTGTGTGGGTCACAGAGCTATCTGCGCTGCCAACACCGCAGGTGGTGGCTGCGGCTGTGGCGGCAGCAGCAGCAGCAGCACCAACACAGTAGGTTCGCTTGGCCATCTTGAGCTCCAACCACATGTTCCATACGTGTAACACGTCGGTCATGCACCGGAGAGCCGTGACGGTGATGGCGAACCACCCATCGATGAAGAGGCACATACACGTGTCACTTATAGAGAGAGCGTAGAAGAACAGAGGGTCCACGAAGAGCCCTGTGGCACATACAAGGAGAAAAACCCTATTCCATTCTTGAACCCATTTGGCTCTCGGGTCCAAAACTTGACCAAAAGACCAACCTCGCCGGGTTCTTGGAGCTCTACTTCTGCACATGGAGAACATACTCGGGCAATAATTCTCATTATGTGATGAGCTCTCTTCTTCTTCTTCTTCTTCTTCTTCCTCTTCTTGGTTAACCATTTCCTCTTCTTTGTCATCAGAATCGTCGTCCGTGAAGTATTGCATGAGGGTTGCAGGTGACAAGAATCCTTGTTCAGTCGCCATGGCCGGCTAGTTGGTGAGAGAAAGAGAGTGTTATTTGTAGAGAATAAGACTGAGAGGTTTGGATTGAAACAAGTCTCAGAAAAGACATAATAATTGGAGGGGTGGAAACTGGGAGAGTTGGCAAGTTTATGTGAAGTTACATTATCACCCTTGTACTATATTTTGGTTTTTAATTTTAATTTTTTTAACTTTTAATTATTCATTATTAAATGTGCTTAAGCCTAGAGATAGTGGACACATGTTTGAATTTTAATGCTTGTATGATCTGGACATGACCAAATTGTTAATACATGCAACCTGTTTACTTCTTTATCATTGATTATAGTATAATTAATTTAAATTTGCCAGAGTGAAATTGCCATAACCATAAGAGCACCCAATTGGCAGCTTATATATGAGGTGTATAATAAAGTACTTATATATGAGGTATAATAAAGTAAGAATGAAGAACCAATTAATTCTAACCTTAAACATCCTAAATTCAAAATCTCTTTTATTTTATTGATCAATTAAGTATTATTAAAGTATATCGATTTTGTTTAAACATGAACGAACGGTCGTTCATTCCATTCATAAAGAATAATTTTTTTTTTTTTTTATAAGGAATGACTATTATTTTATAGGAAACAATCATACATTTATTCTTTATGAAAGAACGGTTGGTGGTCTCTAAAAAATGATTATTTATGTCTAATCAAAGTAATTTAATATCTTGAATAAGAATGTTGTGAAATTAGATTATTGGCGTAATATTATTCTGTATATATATATACAAATGATTCAATATATATAACATACCAAATGGACATGTAATTTAGTGTTCATTATCCAAAAAAATATTATTGAGCTCTTAAAGTAAAATATTAACTTATAATATTGTTTTTCTATGCTAATCATTGTTTTTCGATGTAAATGGAATTTCGGTGAGGATTGATCGTCATCTCAGTAAAATAGTAAAAGATTTGAAGCAGCTGTAGGCCAAATCCATCAGTTGCTTTTGCCAAAACCTATGCGCGCTCCATGAGTTGGGGCTGGGCAATAATTAACAAGCGACAGAGGCACTCCCGTCTTGTCAACCCCAAATTTAAATGGAATCGAAGAAAATTTATCTTTGCCACATATATACACAGTGAAACTCTATCAGCATAGAAAGTTACCAAAAGGTTGGTGCATAAAACAAACAAATTGTTTAATCAACCCCACTTTCAACACTGACGTTTCTTCCTATCCCACTTATCATTTTTAGGTTGTAGAAAAAGCCATTGATGCTTTTTTTCCTTTAATTTATGTCCCAATAATTCCAAGCTTTTAACTATTTAAGAGTTGAATAAGCTTTCCCTACAAGCTCCCCAGTTAACGGAAATATTAATATTTAAGCAATAAGATCAAATATCAGAAGGGATTACTACTGATTCAAACACCAATTACTTTTAAAACAAATATTCGAAGCTAGGTCTATAGGATAGAATTCACAGGAGTAACAGCGAGATTCAGGAACAGTAAGTGTATTTTTATGGGAAAAAGTTGGTGGATATTGAGGAGTGATTCAATATCTTTTTAGATTAATTTCACCATAACATTTTTAAAATTTTTTTTATATGACTTAAATTTTTTATTATAAAGAGTTTATTTATAAAAATAAGAGTCTAATAAATTATTTATTTTTTAAATCTAAATTAAATAGTGAATTTGATTTTTTAATTTTAGAGAGTCAAATTTTATTTTTTATTTTAATATTAATTAATAAATTATAAATTCATTATTTATAAGAAAGATGATTTTTTATTTATATATTATAAATTAATCAACAAATAATACTTCAGTAATTACAAAGAAAGTACAAACGCACGGACGTATCTCCATCAGGGGCATAAATCACGCATTTAGAACTAGAGGGCCCATAAATAATATAAGTGCTACCAACCATGATTCATGAAGCAGCTATGCAAAGCAATTCATATAAGAAGACAAAAACTGAAAGCAGTTTCAGTTTCATTCACCCTCGTGCTTGAGAACAATTAATTGTTTCAAACAAAAGGTTATTGGGATCTAGGTACATATTCCATATATTTCCAAGAAAAATTTAATGCAATTTGGGTACAAATTATACTGTAGAAATTAAAAAGTGGTGTTATGTTTACTCTTCTTTATTGTTTTTTATAAATTTACCCGCATGCTATTTCATGTATCGGACAAAAATGACCACATACTAACAGTAAATCTGGCCTTTTTCACTTAGATTCATGATGAATCTGATTGAAAATGTTATTTCGGTACACAATCTGCTAGATCCAATTGATTGTGTATTTATATGACGACTCCGACCATTCTTTGACAGTGGTAACTGGTTGTCGGTATTTAATAGGTGAGTGAAGGTATTTTTATAATTTTTAATATTTTTATTACAGGAGTGTTTAGTAAATTAACAAATATTGAGAGTATTTTTGTTAATTTTTAAATCATACCTCGTTATTATCACCCAACTCTTACTTTTTCAAAAATACAATCTAAAATACTAAAACAAACACATTGTTAATTATCTAATTAACACTGATTTTTTTTTTTTGTAATCAAGGTGTCCGATGAGCTTGCTCGTACTTCAATTAATCTGTGGAATCCATTAAACACCTTACGAACTCAAAAGACCAAATAAACTACATTATGTTTCAAAGCTGAACAATATAATCGCAATATGTTGTACACCTACACTTAAACTGTTGAGCGTCACTGATAATAGAACTTTGTCGATGGAGATATCTATTAAAACACATGCATAGACTACATGGTAATACAACAGGCAAGCTGCATGCCTCGCCTCGCAATGCCAACATAACGTCGAAAAGAGACTAAAATGATAGTCCCAATGGAAAGGGTTCGTAGGAGACTGGGGTACCCATACCCAAAACAGAAGTGGCGTCGCAATAGTAGGTGGAAAATTCTATTAATATGCAAAAAAAATTGTATTATATATACATACTAGATGATAAAGAAGCTCTCCACATTTTTGTCGTGTACATAGTGAATTATCATCTCATGCAATTTTCAAAGGGAACTACATGATTGCATTCCCTTTTTTTTTATTTTTTTTATTTTTTTTTTATTTTTATTGTTAGTAAAGTGATAGTATAAGAAGTAATTTTTAGGAAAATTTCCAAATCAAAAGGCCTAATAATTCATATATTTAAAAGAGGGTACGTTTGGAAAAGAAAGAAAAAAAAATTATATACAATTGAGAGGACAATATGGATGGACATGATCAGGAAGAAAATTATGATGAAAAATGAGTAAGGCAAAGCAAGAAGGTAAGGAAAGAGACTGTGGTCTGGCTTATTCACACATAAGTTTAATGAACACAGGTTCCATGCAGCTTCGTTGTTTTGTTTGTTTGTTTGTTCATCAATTATCAACTATCAACACGCACCCTCTCAACATCTCGAAATGGCTAACCCAAGAGACGCCACTGTTGGACACTTGAACACAACACTACCGTTTGCAGCTACCGGCCACCTGCATTAATAGTAAATAATCTATTGAAGTATAAACAAAAACAACTTTAATGACTATTAATTTAAAAATTAATGCATGAATGTCACTCTCAAAACTGGGACACGTTACAAGTGATTATAACTTTAATTAATATAATAGAATGATAGGTGTGCATGATCGGTGTAACATATAATAATTAATTAAAGATGTGTTTTTTCTGTTGATATTTGTTGGAGATCCCATATCGACTAGACACACTCAAGCCAATGGGTTTATAAGAGTGGATAGTCCTCCCACTCAATAAGGCCTTTTGGGTGAGGAGTTAGACCCAACTCAAATTCTAACATGGTATCAGAGTCAGCCTCATCTGAGCTGAGTGATTGACCAACGGTGGGCTGTCAAACTACCTCCATTCATAGGCAAGTGGACTATATGGGCTTGACCGTGAGGGAGAGTGTTGGAGATCCCATATCGACTAGGCACACTCAAGTCAATGGGTTTATAAGAATAGACAATCCTCTCATTCAATAAGGCCTTTTGGGTGAGGAGTTAGGCCCAATTCAAATTCTAACTATATTTACCTCAGAAAACAAAATTTGCTTTGGTTCATCGGTTTCACGAACACAAACAAAAATTAAAATATGATTTATATATTATATTTTTCTTGTGAAGGAGGTAGGGCACCTTATCGTTAGAATGTTTTCTGAAGGAGATAATTCATTGTCTCCAGTCAAAGCTGCCTATAAGATAAGGATTATAATTCATTCTAGGAAATTGAAAAAATATATCAATAATTTCCTAGATTTGAGAAATAAGACATAATGGCGTAGCCCTTCAAATCTTGAAGACGACAAGAAATCTCAATTATATCTGACTACTTGTAGTTGTGGAGAACCCTTAGAAATATTTGTGCAACTTCTGAATTACGCAATAAAAAGAAAGAAAATTAGTCAAAAATGGTTATCATTTTCATTTATCAGATCTTTCAAAATATATTCTTGACTTGAAGTTGAAATGATACCGCTACAGCACTGGCAGTAAAACTACAGCGTTCAACTGATATTTCTTGCAAAATTTTTAAATTCACTTGCACATTTAAAGTAGATTTTCATTAATGATCAACCTGCAGACCTAGCTAATTCTTATTTGCCTGTACTGTACCCTTCACTTTTCCATGAGTTTCTTACTCTTTTTACTCCTTTCATGATCTCGTTCATGGCATCCGACTCAAAACGTCTAATCGTAAGTTACCTTGTAACATCATCATCACTTTAGCGTTAAAACACAATTTATTCCATTTTTATTTGGTTCAATGAAAGAAGAAAAAATCTGTGCATATTACGCCCGACTATCACTTCTAGAACTTTTATTTGGTTCTGTATTGTGCAATGTTCAATATATTCTCTCCGTGAATGTGAATCACAAAAACTAAGCTCAAATTTCATAAAAGCCTTGATAAAAGACGACAATTCTAGCGGGAAAATTCAAGTTAGCTCAGCCATCATCTATCAGATAGAATGAGGGCCTGATGGAATGATTTCAAGGACTGGACCACACACACCTAAGAATTACGTAAGAAAAGATTGGAATTTTTCGATAACGTAACGCCAATGCATTTGGCTGCATCCACA